GGAGTTGTCAGGCAGTTCATCACCGATTCAATGTAGCAAGCTATGCAAAAACTTTGCAATTGAGGGGGCACTCACCCATCCCAGCTTGCAAGCCAATTGATCCTTGATGTCTAGCCATGAACATCGAGGATCAGTTCATTGGGAAGCTGTCCACCTCAGGACAGTACTTAGCGTGCTCGGCTTACAACGAGTTACTTACTGGCACGGTCAAAACCTAAAAAGCACGGACACGGGGACGGAAAGACGGGGATAAGCATATGGGGACACGGGATATGGCATTTTTCAGAAACAGTCATTCGGGGATACGGTGGTTATATATAAACTAAAATGAAAAATATGTCAGGCATGGATTACGAGTCGAACGACTAGTCTAGACTAGTTGCTCGACTAGTCTACGAGTCGCACTCCAGCTGTCGACTCCTTTTCTCGTGTTGACTACAAATACGAGTCGAGCTGTCGAAGGACTGATCGACGACTAGTCTGGACTAGTCGTGCATCTTGAGTTGTTCGACTCAAAAAATTCCAGGCTTGCTTCAGAGAGAGCTGCCTCAGCTGGGACGAGGCGCCGCCAGCACCCACTGGCCTGCCACCGCCGCCGCCACCCACCGCTGGGACGGCGGATGGCGCAGCCAAGTGCGGCAGCCGGCCGGAGCTCGTGCTCAGGTGGCGGCCATGGCCGTGGCCCGTAGGCGCGCGCGGCCTTGAGACGAGAGAGGAGGAAGAGAGAGAGAGAGGGGAGAGGAAAGGAGGAGGCATGGCGGTGGTCGGCGGGCTCGCCGGCGGCAGCGGCCGAGGCCGGCGGAAGGAGGCAGGAGGCGCGGGTCGCATGCACGCGTGCTCCGTGCGTGATGGCGCTGGCGGCGGCGATTGGGTAGATCGAGAGCTAGGGTTTCAGTGGTTGGGGGACTAAGTAGGCTGGCCACTTGGGCCAAATGGGCCAGCTGGTGGGTGGGGGGCGTGCTGCACGGTGCTGAGCTGGGCTGGGCCTGACAAGTGTTGACTAGCAGTGCTGTTTTTATTGTGTATATACTGTAATGTGCTGTACTACATACTGTAATAAAAACAGCACTGCTAGTGTTGACAAGTGTTGACTAGCAGAATATTGCCCCATTCGGGGATGCAGGTGTAAGCTTCTCAGCTTATCAACATCGGCTCAGAGATGTTACTCAGGATCTACAACACCAGGACCAGGCTGCCCTTCACTCTCACCCACAGATATTGGCTAGTGGCGGCGGCGCTCCTAGATGCCATGCTACCTAACAGAAAAGCAGCAATCATTCAACACTCAACCCTTCAACAGCAGCACAAGCATTCAATAATTCATGTGAGCAGAAGCAGCACAGCATGGGGTAGCAAGCAGCAGCATCCAACAGCTCAATGGACGAAAATCAAGTTACAGAGATGAAAGAGGTTGAGGTGAGGAGAGGCTGCTGGGCTTGGGGTTACCCTCCGTCGGGAGGAGAGGCTGCTGGTATCTGGGGGCTCCGGTCGAGTCCAGGCGGCGGCGTCAATCCAGGAGGCGGCGGCAGCACGTTCGTTGCTGCCTGGGAGCAGCTCGTTTGTTTTGTGGACACTGGAGAGCGTGCGTGTGACCCAGGGTTTCTAGTGGACCGAGGCTTTCTTGGGCCGAGCCGTGTCCCCAGCGTATCATGCCTTGTACATGTATTATTTCATTTTTTTTAATTCGCAAATCATGGGATACTGCGGGATACCCGAATCTGGCGTATCCCGGAGTGTTGCTGTATCCCGCCGTACTGGAACTGCAAATCGGCAGTTTCTGCCGTATCAGTGCTTGCTAGGTCAAAACCACCACTTCCTGAGCAATCTGGGATTGGTTGGCGCCCCTTGATTGCACAGTTTGTGCGTGGCTTGCTACATTGAGTCGTGCTGGACTGCCGATCAACTCAAGATTAGTTAAGGACATTACTTGGCTAAAACGAACAGGGGAGGCAGTTCTTTATTTCTGAAAGAAATTAGGCACAGAACTGCACACTTGATGTGGAGATTGCTGGGTGTTCTCTTGTATTCTTTTTTTTTGGCTTACTAGATTAGACTGGAGATGTCTTCTCTTACGTTTTATGGTTGGCTTTGCAGGATGGTGATAAGTTTTGGAGGATGCCGGAGTGCTATATTCGTGGGAACACAATCAAGTATCTTCGGGTTCCTGATGAGGTATGCATTTCAGATACAATGTGTCTTTGTTTTGTGTACGAATTTAGTTTGCGCGTTTGGTGACTTACATCTTTCTTCTATCATAAGGTTCTGTGTTGCCATTTATGTGTATAATATCCAATATCAGTTGCATAAGCAGCACATTGATATTTATGGTTGGTGTGCAAGTTATTGGACTTGCTACATTATGTAATTGCACTGCCTTGTTTGTGTATTGCTAGCTGCTCTTACGAAAATAAGACGAGGGTGTATATTGCTTGAATTTCTCAGTAGAATCTATGTTTTAATATTGTTGAATAATTATTTATCAGTTTTTGTCAGACATTGAACGAAGTGGACATTGTATTCAGCATATGCAGACCCTGCAATCTTAATAAGTACAATTTACAATATTGGATCATTTAGGCTATGAAAAATTGTAGTTCTGTGACCTACTTTTGTCAAAAAAGGAGAAATTCTCTGACCTACAATAGCTAAAATGTGCCTAGTCTAACTTCAACACATGAGAATACTTGTGTATGGACATATTGTGGATACATTGTCAAAACTCAGACGTTCCCCTCTACTCTGTTATGTTAGAAATTAGGGGTCAAACTAGCATCCCATGGTCAATGAAAACCCACGGGGATGAAATTTTAGCCGTATATTATTTATTTGTGGAATAGCAAGACTAGTTCTAGTTTGTGCACTGTAATATGTGCATTGAGCTCTAGCCTGTGCAGTGCAGTGTTCAGACTTGATATTTTCTAGAGAAATAGCCCAACCAGCTAGCTGTACAAGGGTTTAAACTACGATATACTCCCTCCGTCCCAAAATAAGTGTCTTGAGCTTAGTACAAATTTGTACTAGAGCTAGTACAAAGTTGAGACACTTATTTTGGGATGGAGGGAGTAGTTGGCTAGCTGCCCATGAGAATCGCTTTGGCTTTAAATCACTAAACACCGCACCAACTAAATCTCCATTACCATGGCCTTCTTTGTTTCAAACTGTTGCATATTATCTTCACAGTTAAGAACTGCAGCTATCAGTATCAGTAGTGAAGTTAACCAGCCGTTTCTATCCTGACTGCATGAGCTTTATGTTTCCCTCACAGGTGATTGACAAGGTTCAAGAGGAAACTTCTAAGAGTAGATCTGGTATGCATCTAAAGGCTAAAGCTGATTGAATCAACAGTGGGGTTGTTCATTGGAGCACATATTTATATGTTTACACATTTATGTTTTACTCCCTCCGTCCCAAATTAAGTGTCGCTGTTTTAGTACAAAATTTGTACTAAATCAGCGACACTTAATTTGGGCGGAGGGAGTAGTAAATTCGCAAGTATATATAATTATAGCTACATTTTATTGGCTGTGTTATTTATGAACTGCTCATCACTTCATACACTGGCAAACTTACATTGTGTTGTCTCCGAGGGGCAACTTGACTTCTCTCATACTCATTAGGTTAGAAGTATAATAGTGCGAAAGTATTCTGCATGAATGGTCTAATAATGTCAATTTTTCATGTGGCTAAACATTTTAAGCGGTAAAGAGTTTTTGTTTTTCTTAAGTTTGGCTGCACTAAGCACAAGCACAATATCTGACTAATATATTGTTAAAGAGAGGCTATTTGTTCTGTTGCTCCCTTGCCTTTGTAGGCCATTGATCTTAGAAGCACAATGTTGTAGCATTTTCAGAACTAATGATGAATGCAGAATGCTTATATTTGCAGTAACAATACTGTGATAAACTTGATCTCAAATCTGTGGCACTAACTACCACGCGATAGGCTTTATTATCTGTATAAATACACACTGGTAGTACATTACAGTGGACCCTGTGTTGTGTGTTGGTAGGAACGCCAACGCGCACGTACTCAATTTATTTATGACTACTATTATAACCTGTAGAGCTTACCCTGTTCTTTGATAGAGCTATTGATTCAACGAAGTTCTGAATTATTCATGCTACTGTATGTGCAGATAGGAAGCCACCAGGTGTTGGCCGCGGAAGAGGAAGAGGAGATATAGGCACTAAACCTGGGGGCAGAGGCATCGGACGTGGCCAAGATGATGGCAAAGGCGGTGGCCGCGGAAGGGGCGGAATTGGAAGTAAAGGTGGCAACAAAGGCGGTATGCTCGCTACTTCTGCTTAGATTCCGCTGCCATGTGCTCTTGGTTTTCTAGATAACAACATACTGACCTGTTGTTGTACTTGATGGCAGGACGTGGTCGTGGGTAAGACGGATTTTGAGATGCGAGAATGCCGCTTTTTAAGGCCTGTAGTTGTGGTGTTGCATAGATTGCTTAGGACATGAAAAACTTTGGAGCTGGAATTGCTGGGTTTTGTGGTATGGTATGGCAAACTGTTTGTGTGGTATGAAGTTACCGAGGAGGAGTTGGCTGTCACCTGTTTGTGTTGTTCGAAACAGTTCACTTAAAATTTGGGTATGGGCTTTATGCGTACTAGTCGACATGTATTTGCAAAGTTCCAGCCCAGATTTTACCTATTTGTTGGTTGTCAAGATATCGTTCTGTGATGTGAAAGTGAAGTTTTTTAGCAGAGTGAGGGTCAGTAGCATCGTACGATGTCGAGTAGCCTGTTCAGTGATATGGTTGTGTGTTAAAAGATGCCTGCCGATGCAGGAGATGGTTTCCATTTGGGAACTTACCGTTCTTTCTTTTGGGAGAGAAAGAGATTGATTCGACGTGCGTAATACAATTAAAACGGGATACAGCAGACTGGAAGCATCTACTTGGGCCGCTTTTTTGTGTGTTTGGAATGACGGCGGAGCAGTTTAACATTGCATGTTACGGAAAACAGCTAGCGAACTCTCGAGGTCAAGAGCTAATGGTCGGAGAATCTCTCCGTGCGCCTCTCCTTGAGAAAATCCTTGTACCAAATCGCAGAGCTCCTTGGGTATCTCTTGAGATCCTCATCAGCGAAATCCACGTAATACAGCCCATACGTGTCCCCGACACTAAGTAGTTCATATAAATCCATCAGCGACCAGGCAAAGTAGCCCCTAGTATTCGAACCGTTCCTGTCACCAAATAAAAAGCTTCATGTTACTGTCACGTCAACGAGTTGCATTACAAAATAAAAAGGCCTTTTTTTCGGTATCATTTTGCCATTTGTTGCAGAAAGAATGGCAGAAACAGGATGAATTGTCTATCGAAAAGTTACCCTTTATGGCTCTTGGCGAATCTACTGAACATCATTTTGACAGTTTTTTCGGTAGCCAATAACGGATCTTGTCTTCCAGCAACAATAAAATGGAACTAGTGTTCAGTTTCATGGATGATATTTTTACTGGTGCAAAAAATGCGACTTGCTTTCGTTAAATAAAAAATATTACTTGCATAGTAGAACCATTTGCTGCAAAACTCAGCACATGTTTCCCATTACTCAGAGAATAGATAGACCTATGAACTTTGTTGTTCCCCGGATGCATATGATTGACAAACGGATCATGTAATCAAAATTAGAGATGTACACTATTGATTATATCCTCCTAGAAATTTTGAATGTTGTAACGCTAAACAAGGCCAACTTTCGAATTAATTAAAGATAAATCTAATGCATGGCCACTAGGATAAAGAAGGGTATTACCTGACAGCAATAAGAAGGTTTTTAAGATGTTCACTCAAGAATTCCACCCTAGGGCCATCATCAAATACCACATCTTGATGCATTGGATATCCTAGAGTTGAACCTTTTTGTAAGTCATACTAATTGTGTTTATGAAAAATATCTAGGCATTAGTCTGGACAGAATATTTAGACAAAAATAAGTAGCACTGAAGATTATTTTACGAAAAGAAAAATAGTTCCATAATGTTGGCTAACACTGCATGATTCTAAATCACTGGACATCAAATAAGTAGGATGCTAAACAAGATACACAAAGTCGCCAGAACAACTGGCTTATTTTATGATTAGCGATAGTTGCAAAATACTTACCATTCTCATGGATATAGATTGGAGGATTACCATAAAATTGCTTCAAATATTCAAGCACTTGGTGTATACCATAACCTGGCACATAGAACTGAGAAGCACTATATGTCAGCCCTTTGTTATTATACATTTAATATTTATAAAAACAGATTTACTGCAAGTTTGTCTTACCCCACTGGTAGAATTGCTTGAAACTGCAAGAGAGAAATCATGGATAAAATTATCAAACTAAAATGAGGAATTCAAATATGAATTTAAACTATACAACTAAATAATGAAGGATTACTCGGTGCGGGACCCTAAACTCATTTCCCTTAAACTGGTCCTAACGTTGTTAGTTACTACTAACAGGTATTGCCGAAATGGATAATAATGTGGCAATGACTCATTTGCAGGATTGGCATCCAACTTTCTCTATCTCATCACCCTCTGGCATCCAACAGGCTCCTCACCGGAGTGCGCCAGCACGCTCCATAACAAGTGTGATGTTCATCATCCTTCAGCCAGACACCGATGCTCCTGGCACCGTTCATTCACTGCCACCGCCTCCATTAGCACCTCATTCCCTCTGTTTCCATATCCATCCACCCCCTTTACGATGCTATGTCTGCACTCTGCAGTGATGGTATGCGAAGAGATCTCAACAGAGTATGAGAACCTCTGCTTGGATCAACATCAAGTGCCAATGGGGCCTCAACCTATGCCAAGTTCGAATTCAAGGCCTCCATTCACCTCATCTCGACTTGACACGACACGGCATGATGTATTAAGGTATGTTTTGCTTATCTTTCTAGACCAATTGTCCACAGGACCAGACAATAATAAATAGATTTACTTATGAGCAATCATAGATTACCAACTAGGATCAATAATGGTCCTTTACCGACATGGCGTAAAATACATATTAAAGTTACTAAAACAAAATCTAGTATATTAGTGCTGAAAATTTTCTGGCTTTTGTCTGACATGAATAAACTCTAGAAAAACAACAAGGATTGAGTCACCAAAATACAACACATATGAAACTCACATATTGATTTAGCAGCCATATCAGCCCTGAAATTCCTTTTGTTGCTAGGAGCATGATGCGGGTCATCCTTCACGTACAAAAATGTGTAGTAATTGATGCCAAGAAAGTCCATAGAATTGATTAGTTGTTTAGACTGGCTTCGAGAAAATTTTGGCAACTTGGAGCCAGTATTCTCCTTCATCACAAGTGGGTAGTCTCCATAATAGAGAGGATCCAAGAACCTAATGCAGAGAAACAACCAAATTTACAGAAGGGCCAAAGTTTTCTCACCATTTTAGTGCAACTCATGGCCAAATTTACAATGAGAAAATCCAGTTTTCTAGTTTTATAAGTTTATACATACTTCAAATACGCACCATTGTGTAACTAGAAAAGTGTTCAGATTTTTGTACAGAAATTGGCAAACCACGAAATCCAATAATACTTGTTGAAAATTTCAAAATGAACAATTACATATAGATAGTGAAATACACACTTTGAACCATATCAATTCAAAGAATAATGTACTGACATATACAGAAGAACTCCACTGATAAAGAGCTTACTGGATTGATTGTAGTTTCAGTACCATAGAACAGCCGTATGGTATCAAAGTACATGTAATCTAAATTCTCTATTTCAAGCCTATTTCAGGCCCTAAAAATTCCATGGACACTGCTAAATAACATAATGTTCTTTCAGACACGTTATCTGTCCTAGGACAAGTTCAAAACACTCCCTCTGATACATATTAGTTGTCGCTCAAACGGATGTATCTAGCACTGAAATATGTCTAGATACATCCATTTGAGCGATAACTGATATGGATCGGAGGGTCTAATAAGACTTCAACGAGTTCAAAAGCAAGTTTCATTGGCAGTTTAGCACAAATTCAAGAGACAATAGATGAAATGTGTAAAATAAAGTAGTGACATCCTTGTTGAGTCCACACTCCTAAAAAGTCTCTCTTTTGGTGATCGTTTTGGATCCTCTTCGTCAAGGCCAAGTATATCCAACTAGTATGAAATAGATGCTGGTACTGTATATAAAGGTAAAAAAAGACAGAATGATGAACCTACCAGCCTGTGTAGAAGGCTTGTGCTCTTTTCGCTGCAGCTATATCTTCGGTTGAATTTGTATAAGGTAATATGTTATTTATACATATATTCATGCCAATAAGTCCGTGTTGCTTTGTCTGCAGCACAAAGTATATTTTTGTCCATGGATATAACCGGTTTCATATGAAACATGGTGCTTTTAACGTCCTTAGGAAAAATACTTAAGTTATATCTAAAGTCCAAGGAACAATAATTAGCACAGAATATCAGCAACAAAGATAGCATTCAGATTTTATTTTTCGAGCAGACCAATTATTCAAAACAATAATTCATTCTAATCTCAAATAACTTGCCAACTATATCACATAGACTACTGCATTGATGTGTCACAATGAAAATGTGAATCTAACTATCAAGAAAGCACTTTATAAATACCATAGTACTCATTTGCTAGTGAAAAGATAGTACCTGATACTTTCTTCTGTATAGTGACACAGCTGAGCTATGAGCCAATAAGCAATTATGAGCTACAACGTATGGCTCGTTTACAGAGTCCCCACAGGAACAGTCAGCAAATCCAAATGGTTTAGAACATCTCCCTGGTGGCCCAATACCAGCATCATAGCCAACCGAAACTAAAGCGTTAGGTTCATTTAGAGTGGTCCAATTGGTAACCCTATCCCCAAATTCCCTAAAGCACACATCTGCGTATGCTGTGAAATCATCACTGGAAACAGAGTAATGGAGTTAAAGAGTGTGGTTATATTCCATGCATTTACTTCCAATAAAACTACAGGCATGTCAAAAAGCAATCTGGTTTTGTACAATGCAAACATAATATGTGTTTTTGCGCCTACATTTTTTTCTTCATTATTTTGCACAATTATCCATAACATGCACTACAGCGAATAGTATCACACTTGCACATCATATTTTTCAGAAACGAAGACGAAACATGAAATGCATGAAAACAGAATACATACATTATTTGGGGATTCAACCATCCACCATATTCATCTTCAAGGATTTGAGGAAGATCATACTGGAAAATCGTTGCATGTGGTTGAATTCCTTCAAGATACTAGACATAGTAAGTGCGGACATAATATCCCTCCAGTCCCATTAATACATCTACTTTTGCCACTAAAAAGCAGAGAAATACAATTATAAAAAACAAAAACAGGATGAGTAAGTTAAACTGGACATGCTCATTGCCAGTTCAGTCCAACTCAGCCAGGGATTCCTGGACTTACTCCCAATTCCAGTATCTGGCCTACAATTTCAGTCCACTACAAATTCAGGGGTGTAGGGCCCGACTAAAACCTACTGGTATCATATAAATAATTAAATATGTACAGTACTACTTGTCAAAGTTCAACTTCCTTTACTGCATGCTTACAAAAATGAATTCATTGATTTGTGAACAGACGGAGTAGTATGCAGTCTCCATGTTGACTGGATTTAATAGGTAGATAAATATCTTGCATGCAAGATTTACCATGATCAAGAAGTTCATTGATGAGATTATTGTAGTATCCTACTCCTTTTGGATTGACTTCTCCTCTTCCTTCTGTGCAAATACAGAACTATATTTTTGTAAGAAACCAACTAAACGAGAAAACTTCACCACAAGTTTTTCAAAAACATACTAGGAATAAGCCTTGACCAAGAGATAGAGAATCTATAAGAATCCAGTCCGGTCTCCTTCATTAATTTGATATCCTCCTGTGACAAACACGAGAAAAGAAAAGATAGACCGTTATCAGCATGCAGGATTTTACCAGGATTGGCTACTTTTTATCATGCCTAGAGAAACCAGAGTTAGTCAATGATGTTTATATGATTTAAATTTTTCTCAAGCAAGTCTCCTGTATGGTTCAGAAAAAATAAATCTCAAGAAATATTTTGCTAACATATTCTTGGAGTCACTAACTATCCGTTCCAAAATAGATGACCCAACTTTGTACTAAAGTTAGTACAAAGTTGAGTCATCTATTTTGGAACGGAGGGAGTACGAAGTACCCTCTCGTCTCTCCCCCAGACCCAACCACCCACTCTATCTAAACGTGGACCGTACAAGGGCAACCTCTCTTTCATATCCTCTTGTGCACAGTTCTGGTCAGCAACTACAGGAGCATTTCTGTTATAGCATGACATTTTTTTTCTTCCGGAAAGGGGTTTACCCGGCCTCTGCATCACATGATGCGCACAGCCATTGTTATAACATGACATACAAAACAATAATGCTAAACATACAAAGAGTTACACGCAATTACACGCTGACTAGGATTTTTTTCATCTACTAACCAATCAAAAACTTGCCCCCCCCCCTGATTTTCAGGGGGGTGGGCCGCCTCCCCATCTATTGACCAATCAAATTAACTCTCTTTGTAAAACCTTGTAACTCGTTTGTACGTGTAGCATTACTCCATACAAAATCCAATTCAGGGTGACAAAATTGAGTTACAAAAATTACCATACCTTGTACTTATGGTAGCCGTCAGCTGCCACATCACCATTTACAGAGTCATCACCTGTATTGCAGAATTTATAAGCACTGAGGCATAGTCCACATGCTCCACTTCTTTCGGTTTCCACCATGGACCCGACCCTAGACATTGAACCGGTCTGGGTTCAGAAAATCCCCCACGAGATTCACAGTTGTGTATAGCGACCGCAAAAACTATTTTTCTTGAGCACACATCTAAATGCGTTTCTTTTGCAATTTGAAAAAGTATGTGAAATGACCTCATTTGCAACGAGCTGTGATATCTCGTCATAATACTAACTTTATCTTGTGCAAGAGAATCGAGCGCGAACATCGGCACATGCGAATATGATACACATGCTGTAATAGCACAGAAGAAGGAGCGGCATGCGGTGATACAGATGGAACAGTGGCACGAACGTGTGCTAGCGCCACAGAAAAAGGGAAATCGTCTGCTCTTGCGTACCGGCGTGGGCGTGAGCGTGAGCGAAGGTGTCCCAGACGCTGGGAGTCCGGCCGTCCTCCGCCGCCGCGCCTTCCCACTGGATCCCGACGGCCCACCACACAGAAGCATGTCAACGATCGTGCTCGCCATTCCACCGCGAATGAACGTAAGCGTGATGGTTCTCACCTGATAAGCTGATGTGCTAGCCCCGAAGCTGAAGTCCCCAGGGAAGTCGTCTTTGCTGATGGAGCCGGGCTCCTGGCCGCTCCCCGCCCACGGCGTCGCGGTGGCCGCGGCTGCTGCCGCCGCGAGGAGGAGCAGAGCGACGGCGCGTAGAGGCCTCATCGGCTGTGCGTTTCTCGCTTCTCCGTTGTCCGCGCGAAGGGGTGTGGCGCGTGCGGACGAGGTTTGATGCGGAGAAAAATTCACTGTAGGTCACCAAACCTGAATCGGGTGACACATTTATATCACTACTTTAAATAAAATATCCAAATTACGGTCCAAGTACTTGCGCGAGGGGTTCATTTTGGTCCATGTATACGATTTTGTGTACGTATTTGCTGACTTGGCCGAGTCAGCGGCCGCCAGCTTGCTTTGACCGTCACCTGGTCGTGCCTTCGGTGAATACTAGTCCATCCGTTTTTTTGTTGTTGCAAAAACGACATGACCTGATCGCACCTGGTTGGCCGCTCGCTTATCCCCTCGCTCTCCTCTATCTCTCCTCCCAACCCTAGCCCAACTCCCGCCACCGCCGCCGCAGCCATTGCCGACGTCGACGCCCTCCGCCGCCGCAGCCATTGCCGACGCCCTCCTCCGCCGCCTCTGTCCCCGCCGTCATGTCGTCTTCCAGCTCCGTCCGCACTGCATTGCGTGGCCGCTCCATTGCTGTACCATTCATCGGGTGCCCGGATCGCGGTGAGCAGGTGAGGTTCTACCGGTCTAATACCGATGAGCACGATGGATGGATCTTCTACAAGTGCGTCAACCACATTGTAAGTGCCAGTTCCTAGCTTGAGCCTGATTCATGCCGTGTCAATTCTTAGCAGCAGTAGTATTGAAGCAGAGCACTGATTAAATTAGGCACATTAGTTGGTTAACTAGTCATTGCTGTGATTAATACAGTAGTTTAGACTGACCTTGCTTGCAAAGTTACTGACAAAACTAGTTGGTTAACTAGTTTGCCATTGATTCATGCACTCTAAACTTTACTGTCACTCTGTAGGTGAATAAAGATGTAATTTTATTTCTCAGGTCACTTGTGATTTCTGGCGCTGGGAGCTTGAATATGTGGAGCATCTGGTTGAAACAAGGCGTCTGATTGGTGATGCTGCCGTAGATGTAATTGGTGCAGCTGAGGACAGGAGGGAAGAGCTTGAGAGGCAGATGACTCTGTGACCAGTAAGGTTAGTGTGCTCCCCACCCAGTCTAGGGTTTCTCAGCTAGAGTTTCTCTGTCAATTGATTCCAAATATCTCTCTTTTGTTTAGCCACCTGCCACAATTTCTTGTAAGGAACGGAGTGGCTTGGCTACAGATCTGCCTAGCTTTAGATGTGGGCATGGATCTTTGTGTGAGAAGCATGTGGCATTTGAATCTGTTGATAGTGGGAGAAGGTTTCTAGCTTGTGCACAGAAGGTTAGTATTTTTTTTGCATTTGGCACTGTTAAACAGGAAGTCATTTGAAGTATGTTTAAAGTTTCATCATCATGCACAAAACTGAATACTGGCAGTTAACTGAATTTTTTGTTTGGTCTAAATTGTTAGGAGGTACCTAAATGCACATATGTTGAGTGGGTTGACCCTGAGTGGCCTGATGCTCTGAAGATGAGCCTAGATAGTATATGGACCATGTATGAAGAGGAAAAAAAAACAGAGGCTCAGACAGAATGTTGTGAGTGCTGAAGAAAACTTGAAGGTTCTTGAAGAGAAGAAGAAGATTGAGAATGAGTTAAGGCATTTCAAGCTTGATTTTGCTAAGATGGTGGCTGAGAAGGAGCAGACAATGAGCCAATTAGGTAGCACACAACTTGCTCTGACTGATCTAAAGGAAGAACTTGAGAAGAAGAAGATGGCAGACAAGTCAGTAACCAACATTCATCAGGTCTTCAGGGTTAAAGAAGAGAAATAGAGGGACCAAGCAGTGCAGGAGAGGGACCAAGTGATTCAAGAGAGGGATGATTTGAAGCATGAGAAAAGGAAGCTTGAGTACATGATTGGTGACCTATTCAAACACAAAGAGGCCATCAGGGAGAAGATAATGAAGCTGAAGGGCATGCTGAATGAATTTGATTGAATTTGTGTCATTGTAAAAAAATGACTTTGTATCTTTCCTAGAATGCGTACTTTCTGTCAAATGAACATGAACCTCCTCCTAGATTTGTGTCATTTGTACTTTCTGTTAAATGTTAACTAAATTGGGTTCAAATAACTAAATTGGATTCAGATAACTAAATTTAGATAAGAAGTTGAAGTTAAGTGTCAGTGTTTCTTCTTTTGGAAAGATTTGCTGATTCAGTTAACTGTTAAAATTCAGTTAACAGGGAGGGGAGTGGAAGCAGAATAAGTAGGTTGTCAAGTAACACTTGAGCAAAGCACCGTTCTTATCACACTGGCATTGCACGCAGTTTCTCACACCACAGGTCCTGGGTTCGAGACCCGGGCCACCCTTTTTTTATTTTTTTATTTTATGCAGTTAAGTACAAAAACTAGTGAAGAGATAAGTACAAAACCACTCTAACAGTTTTCATTTTGACTGAATCATCTCAACTCCAACAGTTTGAAAGAGTCTCATTGTAGTTTTTGCCAAAAAAAAATACAAGTGCAACAACACTGAATCATCTAAACGCATCAAACATGTTCACTCTCTTCAGCTTCTTGGGAACATGTCCACTTGGCCCTGCTTGCTTCCTCTGCTCAGCTCTTATTCTCTTGGCCTCTTCTTGCCATTTCTTCCTTACTTCTTGATCTTTTTTTCTCTTCAGTGCTGCCATAGTTCTCTTTGCTTCTTGATCTTCTTTTCTCTTCAGTGCTGCCTCTGCTTTAGCTGCCATCGCTTTAAGGGCTCTGGCCTCCTTCTCTTCTTGCAATGCAACTTTTCTTGCTGCTGCAGCTTCTAGCCTTGCTGCAGATTCCACAACTTTCTTCTCTTGTGCTGCTCTTCTTCTTCTTATTTGTGACTTCTCTGCTTTCATCCTTGCAATTTCTTGCCTTTTTGCTTCTGCCTCCTCTGCTTTCTTCTCTGCCATCTCATTCATGGCCTCAAGTGTTGCATCTCTCCTGGCTGCCATCTATCTTTCTTTCTCTCTTTTCATCTTCAGCAACTTCATGGTATGGTTGCCTTCATTTGTAGTTGTTGTTGTCTGTGCTGAAGTGTTGGAACTTGCTGCCAGTGAGATGAATGATGAATCTGGCAAAATTCTTTCAGTATCTTCTCTAGGAACAGGTCTGGATTGTTGCATCCTATTAAGCATTGTAAATCCAAAATCTTGCACCTGTACAAAACAATCATCACATGCTAGCATCAGTACAACAAAAAAGGAATGTGCCTGAAAAATACAACTAAAAAAAGGAAGGGACAAAAGTGGAGAATTTGCCTGAAAAACAACTGGTGTATCTGCTCCATCATCTTGTCAGACAACTGGTGTATCTGCTCCATCATCTTGTGTGACAATGACCTCCTCATGTGTATCTTGGCCATCAACATGGACCTCCTCTTGTGTAACTTGACCATCATCTTGTGTGACATGAACCTCCTCCTGTGTACCTTGGCCATCATCTTGTTGTGGCAGAACAAGTTCATCATCTGACTCATCATCAGAAGAAGGCAGACACATATCCACATCTTCAGTAGGATCATCATGTTCTTCTTGCACTTCTTCACCTTTACCTTTCTCACAATAAACATTTCTGGCAAATAATTCATCATCATCTTCCAGATCAATGTCTGGATCAACAAGCTGAGGATTGTATTCTTCATCTGAACCATGGATTACTAAGTCACCAACTGCATCTGTTGCATCCATGTTCAAAAACCTGCATGATTTTCTGGCCCTAAACCCAAACTAAAATGAAAGGTAAGTAGTTCTTGGCTGGGGTGGACTTGGTATGAAATCATCTGCTTCAGCCTACAGCGGGCGGTACTACTACTCAAGGGAGCGGTACTACCGCTGGCCGCAGCGGTACTACCGCGAGCCCCAGCGGTACTATCGCTATGATTGTGAGTACCACCTGCAGAGGGAGAAGAGGCAAGAGAGAGAGCGCACGTGCGATACTATCCGCGGTACTACCACTCGTGAGCGGTACTACCGCTCCTCCTGCTGCTGCTAGTGTCACTGAACCCGTCACGAGAAACGAAGGTCTCGAGTCGAGGCGGTACCAGCGAGGAACCAGAGCCGTACTACCGCTGATGGCCATGGGAGGTACTACCACTTGTGGCTATCAGCGGTACTGCTGCTCGGCACCGTGGTACTACCGCTGGCGCCTCGCCTACACCACTTCTGCGATAAAAGTATACTCCAAGGATGAAGAAAGGAGCTGGGGGTGCGAAAGAGAAGTGTACGTGTTGATTCCACCCTAGCCTTTCCAATACGGACCCCCTCTTGATAGTACGATGTCTCCTACGACTCAAGTCCACCAAAACTAAAACGAAAGAGAACTACACTGTCTTCACTTTGAGCTTTGAGGGGAATGAATCGTCTCATGCCAATGAATGAATATCTGAAATGCTCAATGCACACGATTAGTCCGCAAAACGCATTATCATCAATCACCAAAACCACTTAGAGAGAGGCATGCCCTAACACTTGGTGAGCATTGTGTTGTCACACCTCTCCAATGGAGACGTACCCCCCCAAAGGAGGGAACTACATCATCGTCTCGACTTGCAGTTTATTATTTCCACCACTTACTTGTTTCAAGCTTACTTTAAGTGTTAGTCTTTCTAGCTTGTTGTTGTTGTTGTTGTTGTTGAGCTTAGCATATATTCTGTCCATCTAGCTGCATGTCAAGATAACCTATATTCTTGTTGTTTCCCTTCAAATTTGAAAAGAATTTAAAAAAATTAGTCGCCTATTCACCTCCCATAGTCGACCATACCAATCCTTTCGCTTTTGTTGACCAGGGTGGCTTGCTTGGAAGCCTACATCTTGTGCCGCTCCAGCTACCTCCTCCTCCACCGACAAAGCCATTGCAGATGGATTCATCTATACTCCCTCGACCGTGACCGACGGTGCCAAGGCAAAGTCTTCATCATCCGAGCCTGTTGATCGAGCTTAGTCTTGAGAGACTCCATCAACATGGATGTAAGGTAGTGCCAACTATCCGAATGTGATGCCCCCGATTTAATTAT